CCCCCCCCCCCCCGATGCGGGCCACATTGCTGGGGCCTTCCGCCGAACTCCGGCCGCTGGGTATGGCCTTCCTTGGCTCCCGAGGCGGTGGACCCGGCTGCGCGGGCTCCCCAAAGGGACGCCGGAATTCCGGCCCCTGGCGCGTGGAATTGAGCCCAGCATCTCCGGACGATCGCGTGGCATGATTGCCGGCGCCCTGCGGCGGGTTGGATGTAAGACTCGAGTCAATCGCCGGCAGACATTCGGCCCACGAAGGGCGCGCCGGGGGAGCCGGTGCACGAACCTGACCGAGGCCTTGCGTGCTCGGCGCGCCAGCCAGTGCGCCGGTGTGACAGCCACACCGGCCCAGGCATGCACTTCGCGGGAGCCGCCCCCCCCCCCCCCGGTTCGGGGTAGGGGTGTGAGGCGGAGGGGGCGGCCGAGCCACCGGGCGGAGGGACAGGCGGGGTGCCAAAGACAGGGCCCGGTGATGACGGCAAGGGCGCCCCATCTGGCCAGCAGGGCAGACTGGCTGAGAGCCCCGCCCAGCCGTAACCAACCCAAGCCCGAGAGAGAGAGAGAGAGGGAGAGGCATGCGCCTGCCGCGGGGACAGGGACGAAGCGGCAGACCGGCGGGGCGGGGGCGATTCGGGCCCCCGGAGGCCAGGCCCATGCCATTGCACCTGGCACGCCTTCCTTTATTGTCCCTCCGCCGTCCGGCCAGCCGAAAAGGGCGCACTCGAGAAATGCCCCAAGACGGGGCCCTCTCCGTGCGACCATGGTCCTTCCCCCTTTGACCCCGTAACTCCGGCCGGTCGGCCCATGCAGTTCAGCGGACCTGCGCCGGCGCCATAGACACACACACACACACGACCGCGACCACAGGCCCCAAGCCGGGAGGGGCCCCGGAGTATCTCTCAGGCTGATGGACTCGCCCCCCCCCCCCTCCTCCGACCGACTTTCCACTCTCCATGCCACGAGGAACTCGGCCAGTGTGTTTGCGTGTACATGCACCTCCTCGCACATCCGCCCCACCGCCTGGCCAAGGTCGGCCTGCGATCACTCCTCCCCCGGAGGGCGTGTCGCGCGGTCCGCCATCCCTGGGGCCCGGCGCGGTCGGGCCCTCCCACTCTTAAACCCGGGGCGCCGCCGGAGAAGACCGACATGGCCGCGCGTGGCTCTCCCGCATGCTCCTTCCCGCCACATTGAGCCGGGGTTCAGATGAGAGGAAGGTGGCGGGGCACGGGGCGAGAGGGGCGAGGGGCAGGAGAACATCCCTCTTCCTCCCTACCATCATCTCCCCCTGGCTCTCGCCCGCCTGGGCCATCCCCCGATCACTCGCCTCGGAGTCGTTGCTCGACGGCTTGCTTCCCTACTCCCACCCGCCCGTGCCCGAATCATTTGCCGCCCTTTGTGCCACCCCGCGACGATGCAGGCACCCGGGTGCACGGTGTTCGCCCAACTTGGGCGCCAGCCGGCCCCCTGCCTTCCTCGGCCTCCCGCTCTCCGGTCCTCCCCTCCCAGGACGCACCCTCCGACGCTCTCCATCGCCCGATGTCGGGGACAGGAAGGCGGGGCGAGGGGGGGGGGGGGGGGGGAGCACGGCAATTGCTCCCGGGCGACCTCGACCAAGAGCCGACCTTCCCCTCCCAGCTCGATACCCAGCGGAAAAGCGCGTTCGTGTGCGCATGCGCGCGCGCGCGCGCGCGCGCCCCCTCGGCCAGACATCTCCCAGGAGCGATTGGCGCCAAGCCGGCCGAGCGAACACGCCCGCATCGGGAGATGAGGATGTGGTCGTGGCATGTGATGCCATCACGGTACATCCACATGACCAGTTAACTTGGCCCATGTGCGAAGGGGCGCCATCGGGCCCAGCCTGCCCGCCTTCCCCCGCCCACACCACCCGGTCCGTTCATTCCCACCAAGATCGCAAGTGTCTGGGGGGGGGATTAAAAAAAAAAAAAGCCTGGCTCAAGATGTGGCACTGACTGTCGCCATGCTGCAGCTGGAAGTGCGCCTCGCCGGGGACCCCCGCACCAGGCGCCCGGCCTCGCGATTGATAGGCCGACAAACCAGGAAGACCATCTACGGAGGAGGGAAAATAATAACAACCAAAAGACAACAGCAGCAAAGGGCAGAACCGTCGCAAGATCGTCTATTTCATCGCCCATCATCTCCAGGGATGAGGGGAGACCGTGCGGAGAGCATCCCTCCCCCGGCCCCGGTCCGGAGGAGAGCGAGGAAGAAAGAGGGAGGGTTTTTTCCATTCGACCGGCCGACGAGGCGGGCACGCGGGGAAAAAAAAAAAAAGACCCTCCCGCGCGCGCCTGCTCCTTCAGTACATTGGCTCCTTGGGGGCCGGCTTCTTCGGGTGCGCCGGAACCGGGCGCATGCGCGGCAACACCGTCACCGCGAAGGTGTAGCTGTGCTCCATGCCGCGATAGGTGTCATTGATGATGGACACATTGTAGTGGTAGACGCCCGGCTCTTCCGGTGCCGTGAAGCGCAGGGCCACCGCTCGGCCGGCACCAGCGAGGCCATCCGCATAGATGGTTCGCATGGCGGCAATCTCGCCGAAAGCCTCGCCCGGCGGGGGCACCGAATCGCGGAAGCGCACCACATTGGCCGGCTTCGGAAGCGACTGGACGTCCATGTCGGCCACGAGACTGGCCACATTGGCGGCCCGCTCGGCCGGGGTTTGCATCAACAAATCCACCGGCACCTCGATCTCCGACAGGATGACCCACAAGCGGGAGGAAAGCTCCCGCGTGCGGATCCCCTGAGCCCGGATGGCCCGGATGTCCTCGCGATTGGCCAGACTCAAATGCAGGGACACCTGCACTTCGGCCCCCGGGGGCAGGGCATCCGCGCTCCGGGCCCCGGCCGGCAGGTCCAACTGCATGGCCGCCCGCACGAGGGGCAGACTCCGGAGGAACTGCGCCGCGCGGGGCTGACGCGACACCGCATCCAGCAGCCCCTCCAGGCGGCTGTGCGTGCGGAAGGGCAGCGGCACATCAAGCTGCCTTTCCGCCGGGACCGAGGTCCCCGGGCGAGCCACGGCCCCGAAGAGCCCCTCGGCATCGGCCGCCTTCAGGGCCAAGTGCAGGAGACCATACTCCCCAACCGCCGGGTATGTGACATCGCGCAGGTTGTCCACCAGGCGATCCGTCACCCCGGGAACCTGGGCCAAAGCCGGCCCCTCGAACCAGGACTGCTGCTTGACCGCCTGCAGCATGCGCATGGCCAGGGTCGCCGCGCGGAAGTTCCGATAATGCACGCACACATCGATCAGGGTCAGGAACACTCGGACTGCCTGATCCACCACGAGCTTGGTGTCGATCTCATAGTCCTTGATCGGGCTCGGCAGCCGGAGGATGTACGCCTGCAGCAGCAGATGCGTCTTCACATGGGGCAGATCCATGTCCACCGGGTCCGCCGAGTAGGGAACCTGCTCGGACACCTCGAAGTTGTGCATCTCCTCGTTATGCCGCATCGGGATCTCGGAGAACTCGTGCGCCTTGGAGAAGAGCACCAGCACATCGAAATAGGACAGGTCCGGCTTGAGGGCCAGCCGGCGCAGGCCATCGGCAAAGGTCCGAATGGTCCGGTGGGACACGTAGTACGTCGAGGCCACGCGACCAAGCTCAGTCGGCATGATGCAGGGTGCCCCCTCGCGCGACTCAACCGCTGAGGGAGCGCAAGTGGGCAAGGGGGTGCATGAAGTGGGACGAGGGGGAGAATGGGAGAAGGGGGGAGAATGGGAGAAGGGGGGAG